ACCATTGTTGTAAAAGTGGTTTTCCCAGGGTAAGGCTCATCTATTGCACTTTGGATGAGCTGACCCCTGTGATTTCCCCAAATGTGGGAAAATCAACTGCCTAAGTGGGAGATTGTGTTTGGGGTTTCCCTTGGTCTTTCTAGAACCACTCTTTGGTCCTTTGCTATTTTCACTGCTTGCTGCCATAGGCCTGTTTGCCTTGCTGGTTTTCCAGGTGGGCTGCAGGAGGCAGATCCTAGAAAGCTAGCAGTGCAGAATGGTGAGGTCCAAACAGAAAGCAGTCTCTGCTGCCAGTTCAGAGGCCTCCCAGCATGGCAGTGGGAGGCTTTTGGGTGGTGGTGGCTGAACCCTGGGTTACTGCATTCACTCCATAAGACGCATGTACTTTCCCTCCCACCTTTTTGGAGAGAAAAAGTGCGTCTTATGGAGCGAAAAATATGGTAAATAAATCAGTGTTGAGGATAGTCTTCAGTGCACTGTTATATTTCACTTGGCCTTCAGTATGGAAATGATATATATGACCCTTGGTGACTTGATTTTCATACAACTATCTTTTGTTTTGTGGTCTTCATATTTTCTGGAGTGACCTTAAGGACATATATATTTTTTAATCCTATGATTTCTGATTCAAGTGTTGTGTTTTTATTTTGTTTTCCACGTAAGGCCAATAAAACATATTAAAACATAATTCACCATAAACTATCTGGCCACTGTACATCAGTGGTCCCCAACTTTTTTGACACTGCGGACTGTTTGGGGGAGGACCGGGTCCGTGTGTGGGGAAGTCGGGGGCGCACCCTCGCGCACATGCGCAAAGAAGCGGGAGGGCACGCTTGCACAAAGGGGTGGGGGTGCTCAGGGGGCACCCATGTGCATTCACACACATGCGTGAAGGGGTGGTGCATGGGGAGTGTATGCAGGGGGGTGGGAGATCTGTATCTGCGGCCCAATCCCGCCCAGGCCACGGACTGGCACCAGGCTAGGGGTAGAGGACCCCTGCTGTAACTTTTTTTTCTTTTTATTTTAAGCAATTTACCCAGCCCAATGTTTGGCCACTTGACTGAACCTTTTGACACACCTGATTTCCACAAACTTTATAGAGGTGAGTGTATGATAAAAACAAATCATCTAGAATCCATCAGCATAACTTTTGTTGTTTAAGGCTGATGACATCATCAGTCATAATTATTTCCCTGTGGTTAAAAGCTTCTGATTCCACCACCAGCACCATGGGCCTTGAGGTTCCTTGGGGATTCCTTTTAATGTGAGGAAGCCATTGGGACTGCAAGGCTTTGGGGGAGGAAGTGTTTAATTTCTTAAAATTTGTTCCGAATAGTGGTGGTGATTTTCAGAAATTAAAGACTCCCCCCACCCCCAATACTGCAGCCTCAGTGGCCTCCCAATGGTGAAGGGAGCCTTAGGATCTTTGGAGGGGGAGGAGATAGGAGATGTTTAATTTCTGAAAGACTGTTGTGGCTGATGACATACTCTGCCTTCTGAGGCATAAAATGACACTGTTGGGTTTCACCCATTGTATCTTAGGCCTTGAGGTATTAAAAATAGTCTGTCCTTTGTGTATTTTCCTATGACAAACAGTTTTTTATGAGAATGTTGATTTAAGGAGGAGTAATCATGTTTTAAACTTACAGTTAATTTTTTTAAAATTTCAGTCATTCCAATCAGAAAAACGCACTCTTTAAATATCACCTGGGCTCTTCCACCACAAGAACAGCATTACAGGTAAATTGACATTCTCGTAATAGAAGCAGTGATGTAGATACCATGAAATTAAATTAATTAAACAGATTTTATTGTTATAGAATAGGCAGATGGATGACATTTTCATTTGTATAATAGCACCCAATTTCAAAGGACATCTGTTTTCAGCTTTACTTGATCTCCTGCATGGTTCTAATGCTCGAAATTGTTATTAATCATTTCTTTTTCTCCCTCTTTCTAACCTGTGCTCTTTCTCTTAAATGCTGTTCATTTCTTTTTTTCTGTTCACTAGTTCTCTTGCTCTCTGAACCTTTAGATGTACTATTTATAGTAGTAGATGGAATTTGTATTTGTAATGACACCTACAGTTTTGGATTTGTTTGTTCTGCTTGCTAATTTCTACGATGGCTAGAAACTAGAACTGTCAGGAAATGTTTTATGGATCTTTTCCCTTCTGCAGGGTGAAGCCACTTCATTATATTTCTTGGCTTGTTGGGCATGAAGGCAAAGGAAGTGTTCTTTCATTTCTTAGGAAAAAGTATGTATTGGTACAGCAAATCTTTCTAATGTTCACAATGACCAGGCATGAAAGAAAATATTAAAACACTTAAAACTTCTAACTGTCACATTGAAAAGATAATGCACTTTTACATTATTTCATTACTTTAGGCCATTGGCAAGCATGCTAGTTTACTCAGACAACCAGAAAGTATCTTAAGAGCAGTACTGCATAAAAATTGAGTAAAGGAATATCTCTTGGATAACATCTTGCAAATCTGTTTTATGTAATGAACAGCACACAATTAAAATAAATATTTGCTGTTAGTATTGTAAGGTGAGACTAATGTTAGGAATGTGTTTATGTATCCTGAATAGAGATGGAGGTTTTCGTATCTGAATATCCCCGCACAGGTGGTGTTAACGAGGGTCCAGCCCCATGGGGCTGAATGGTCCACTCACCAATCCTCTGCAGACACGGATGACGCGATTCTACAAATGGCTCCGCAGTGCATGATCCGCTTGCCATTCTTCGACCTTGCAGCGAGGCTTGCCCTCCCACCTCCTGCCAGGAGTGGTGAGTGGATTGTGCACTGTGGAGGCATTAGTAGAAACATGCCATCTGCATCGGATTGGTGAGTGGACCGTCCGGCCTCATAGGGCTGGACCCTCATTAACACTACCTATGTGTGGATATTCGTATACGAATACCCCCATCTCTAATCCTGAAGTTTTAAACCTGAAATTTTAAAAGAAAATGTTTGGGGTAATCTGAATCACAGTCAGTCTTTTTGCATGGATGCCTCAAATGCAACCCTTTACCATCTCTATCATACAGTGAGACTGAACCTGTCAAATCAGTGCTTAGAACTCCCAGTTGAATATGAAGAGATGTGACCCAGGTTGTGTCAGTCATGGCTAAGCCAAGTTGCTTTTTCTTATAGTCCTAAATTCATCTGCTGCAATATTTCACCTGTTCACTCAAAAGCAGAGTAATACGGCTGTACCTTGCAGTTCAAGAAATACCTTTGAAATGTACATCCTTATTTTTTCTAAATGCTATGTAAAACTTTTCTAACAGATTCTGGGCACTTGCATTGTATGGAGGAAATGGTGAAACAGGATTTGAGCAAAATTCCACATACTCTGTCTTCAGTATTTGTGTGACCCTGACAGATGAAGGCTACAAGCATTTTTACGAGGTATACTGTACTGAACATATTGCACTGGAGTACTTACAATTTTCCTTACTGTAGATTTGGGGATCTTGAAAGTATTTGTTTCCATTTTCAGGTTGCTCATGTTGTATTCCAGTATTTAAAAATGTTGCAGCAAAGAGGACCAGTTAAAAGGTAAGGAAAGTGTGGACACTAGATTCTAGTGAGCACTGGGACTTGCTGCTCTTGGGGTTTCCCTATGGTGGAGGAAGGTATCTTTGTGTTTCTCCTCCCACTTGCTGTGCTAATCAGGGTCTTGGTGAGTGGAATTTTAGGTGTGTGATACTTTGGGGAGCAAACCCCTGCCAGCTTTGATTCTGCTTAGCTCTGGACTCGTAAAGAAGGGCGTTGCTGAAGCTCTGCCAACTCTTTAACAATTTTCCTTCTTTGCAAACAAAAGTTCTATGGCACCATAGGGACTAGTAAGTTTAATTTTGTGTCATTTCACATAAGCTTTTGTAGCCTGCAACCTCCTTAAGTGTTTCCTTCTGAAACACTGATTCAGAATAAGCAGTCCGTGAAACCTTATTCTGAATCAGTGTCTGTCTTTACAGTTCAACAAGACACTTTTTGTGCTGTAACAGAGTAACATGGCGTCCCCTCTAGAAATACCTTCTTTCTTCACCTTTTTCTGTCTTCCTTGCCCATTGCTCCTCCTAGCTTTTCCTGTCCACTCAGGGCAGATAGTACGGAGAGCCAGAGGAATTTTTCCCTTGAAGAATTGATTGAACTGATAGGCAGAGAAAAAACAATTTTCAGGCTCAGCCTTATAAGATTAAGTTATTCATAAGGTGATGTGGCCTCTTCCATCCAGATCCCAAGTAGGTCTCCAGCCCCATTTGAAGTCTGCAACCTCTGGCATAGTGATGAGACTGCTGAGAAAACTGTTCTTAATTATTGTTCTGTAATTACTTTTGGAAATAGTTCCTTTTTTGGTAAATTTATTAATTGCTGACTTTCTTGAAATTATTGACTTCCTTGACTGACTGAGGACACTGTTTTGCCTACAGGATATGGGAAGAGATCCAGAAGATTGAAGCAAATGAATTCCAGTATCAGGAGCAGGTATTTAGTTCATCAGATTTCAGTAACACTGAGCTTTAAAATAGTATTCTCTTGTAATTTGCCCTTAGCTTCATGTACTTGGGAAGACAGAATTGGGAACTGTAAAGAGGTGTTACACTGTGGAGTACTCTTGTTTAGTCTTCCCCTTGATTAGTCATGGCTTCATCCTCAATACTCAATTCTACTCCCCCTCCCTACTTGCTTTCCTTTATGCATCACCACCCTCGCAGGAGTCAGCATTCCGGGCCCCACCCTTTTTGGGATGTCCCCCGCCCCGCCCAACCAGCTTTAGTATCTCTTCTATATATTTTTGTGCTCCCACAAAGGTTAGGATTTCCTTGAACCTGTTGATACCTCTCTCTTGTACCAGTAATGCTGTTTTCACGATATAAGGACCTGCATTCATCTCTGAATTTTAGGAAGAGAGATATCAAAATAGGAGGATCTAAAATAAGGTGCTGCATAAAGTCACTGATGTTTCTGAGAAGCACAAACTGTTATTTGGTATAATGTTTTTAAAATATCTGCTTTTTATGTTTTTGTTTTTACCTCTTTGTATTCATTTGCGTAATCAGAATTTGGAATTTTTTTACCTGTTAGGTTCTGTGCCCGTTCTGTGAAAGATCTGTTACTGATTTTTTTAAAGGCTTGACTAAACTTTTTGCTTTTGAAGATACATATGTGCTTTATAGCTTCATAACAACAAAAAAACAGATTTTTGAGTCCTATTTAGGAAGAATTCAGTTGAACTGCTTTTATCAATGTTAGTGAACTGGAGACTGTTGGCTGATAAAGTCTGATGCTTGAACACCTTCTTAAGAGCCTTTTAGGAAAAACAGAACCCTGTGTTGTTCACATTGATCTCTAAAAGAGTTAATACCAGTATGAACCAGATAAGGTGGTGGGAGTAGATTTAGATTTTTAGTAAACTTATTAGGGTATGGAAGAATTCTCAAACATATCTTAATTTGCACTGTTGCCATGTATTTGGGAATGAAATAAACTGAGTGCAGGAGAAGATGGGTTCAACTGCTTGTACTTATTTGGGCCAGCTACTGAAACCTGGAATTTCTTGAGTAGCCACAGTTGATTCTTGATACATCAAAATTGCAAAAGTCGTTGCACATTGTAATGAAAAGCTGATGGTTTGGTTTCAGCCTCATGCTGAAGTAAGGTGAAGTTTTTTTAAAAAAAAAGTCAGATGATGAAACTGACCTGTTTCCTTTTCAGACTGATCCAGCTGAATATGTAGAAAGTCTTTGTGAAAATATGCAGCTGTTCCCAAAGGAGGACATTCTGACGGGAGACCAGCTTCTCTTTGAATATAAGCCAGAGGTAATTTATTTATTACGTCTACTCTGGGCATTTTACAATAGGAATATGATAAGACAATTAAAAACAACAATTTAAATCAGTAATATTAGTATCATTCAAGATGGAAAAAGTATAGATGGGAATTAACATAGAAAAGTAAAAATCAAGTATTGACTGGAGGGAAGGCCTGCCTAAAGAGCCAGGTCTTATGCTGGCTCTTAAAAACACCCAGCGAGGTGACATTGACATTTTATGTCTTGGCTTTTGTTATGTGAGATAACCTGGGCCTCAGAGAGGATTTGATGATATCTCTGTTGGTTCACATTAAGATCCATATTGGTTCTAGCAACCAGTTACTGGTCTTGTTTTGTAGCCTTTTATACTTGGTTTTCAAGGTGCAACATTGGGCTAAAAGCTGTATTTGAATTTTTTACTTTTGTAGATCATTGCTGAAGCACTTCATCAGCTGATTCCGCAACGAGCCAACCTTATTCTGTTATCTGCTGCTCATGAAGGCCAGTGCCATCAAAAGGAGAAGTGGTTTGGCACACAATATAGTTCTGAAGGTACAATAAAACTGAGATCTCTTGAAGTAACGCCAGAGGCAGAGGGACACCTTGAAGAGCATTGCAATGTGCAGGGCTTGAAAAATTTTAGAATGTCTCACCAGTCAGTCAGCATGACCGGACTTTAGCCTTGCAATTTATTGTGACTGGGAATGATTTATACCCTCATACTTGGGTTGTTTTATTACCTGCGTTCCTGTGAGGTCACGAAGCTTGTATTTTGAATGCCTTTCTTTTGAATGTCTCCAGCAATAATAAAACTGAAAGCAAAAGCGCCCGGCCTTTTAAGGAGCCACAGTTCCCTCCCACCCCAGGATGTGTTCTCATTCGGTTGAAATTGGGAGCAGGGAATCTCCATATTCTCCAGCATGGGAGTACTTGACATTCTCCTGCAGAGCTGTTGGCTCTCTGTACTGCTCAAACTCTCTTCTCATGAGAAGAGGGCTGTTTTCTTTTTGCAATGGGAGGGGGGAAGGAAGGACTGTAGGATTAGAGAGAGAGAGAGAGAGAGAGAGAGAGAGAGAGTGAGCGAGAGAAGCGGAGGGGAAGGAGGCAGGCAGGGAGGGAGCTGTGACTCATCGAGCAGCATTTTTCACTTGTCACAGACAAGTGGATGAGTGTATTTTTCAAGCCCTGGCAATGTGGTATACTGATGTGAGGCTATCCTATGGGCCATTCTGAGTTTCTCTTCCTAGGACTTGAGAACCTCTAGATACTGGAGAAATATGTTTGGATCAAGACTTAGTAGTGCTGAGAGTGCTCTTACTGAAATCAGTCAGTCTTAACAGTAGTGATAACCAACAAGACACTTCCATCATGGTGAAGCTTGAATGTAACCCATGGATTTATGTCACAAATAGCAAAAGACAATCTGTATTGTAACTTTATTGTTGGGAATATGGCTTGATCAGAAATATGGGTAGGTTTCTCTCACCACATTGTGCAAATATATATTGATATATCAACATATATATGTTGATATATCAATGTGATATATATGTTGAAGAGGAAGACTGGGGGTGGGTGTATTTTTTTACACACCCTGACTGCTAACATGCTCTGTGAAGTTCATTTACTTCATATTTGCAGATATTGACCAATACTGGAGTGATATGTGGGCCAGTGACTTCCTGCTAAATCCAGATTTACACCTGCCTGAAGAAAACAAATATATTGGTACGTATGAGGTGGATCTATGAATAGCTAGGAAACTGTTGAATGTGACCAATTTTTTTGGAGTATGGTCTTAAAAGAGATTGTTGCAGCTTTGAAAACTAAGATTCAACAAAACTACTTATTTAGTTATAAGTGAATGGAACATATGTATAACATTTATTTTGATTTCTACCATGATGTGTCCCAAAGAATTAGGATTATATGATAAAATCTGAAATTTAAGATAATGGTGTAAATCAGAGATCCATTTGTGCAACATCATCCATGGGCTTTGGGATACTGTTTAGTCAGTTCAGGAACACAGAACTGTCTTATCAGTCATTGTTGAGATACAGATATTTGTTATCTTGATACATGGATTTGAAATAGTAACTTTCTCTTGGAACTTTTTTAGCAACTGATTTTGTTCTGAAGGCCCCTGACTGCCCACAGACAGAATATCCAGTCAGTATAATAAGCACTCAGCAAGGTTGTCTGTGGTACAAGAAGGACGATAAGTTTAAAATCCCTAAAGGTAACACCTTTATTCATGTTTATTATTAAAATGTTGAATGTGCTTCCATCCTGTATAATAGCGGGCATTCTATAACAGTGTTTTTTCCCCCCTCATGCCCTTTTAGTATGACTTCTTTTGAAATTACCCTTTTATTTGTAACACCAACACCCATCTCTACATGAGTACAACATAGATATTTAATATGGGATGGGTTCCCCCCCCCCAAAAAAAAACCTTGACTGTTCTCCCAGCTCAGCCATATATTTGACCTGCAGTCCTAGTGTTTTTTTTAATTATTATTATTAATTTTTTAAATTTATTTTTTATTTATTTAATTTATATGCCGCCCACTCTACCCAAAGGTCTCTGGGCGGCTTACAACAATTAAAATTCAATGCAATAAAATAAAATGATTAAAATACAATTAAAATACAATTAAAATTGGCATCATTTAAGACCCACAGTTAGTGTTATTTCAATTAAAAGCCTTCTGGAACAGGAAGGTTTTGACCTGGCGCCGAAATATCATCAGTGTCGGTGCCAGGCAAATTTCAGTTGGGAGGGCGTTCCATAGTCTGGGGGCAGCTGCCGAGAAGGCCCTTTGTCTACAAGCCATCCCTCTTACCTCCTTGAGGGATGGCTCTTTCAAAAGGGCCCCCTGGCTAGATCTTAACAGCCGGGTAGGCTCATATGGAAGGAGGCGGTCCTTCAAGTATCCAGGGCCCAAGCCGTTTAGGGCTTTATATGTCAAAACAAGCACTTTGAATTGGGCCCGGACAGCAACTGGTAACCAGTGTAAATTATACAGAATCGGCTTGATGTGCTCTCTGGCGGCCCCACCACTCACCAGCCGCGCAGCTCGATTCTGAACCAGTTGCAGTCGCCGGACCGTCTTCAAAGGCAGCCCCACGTAGAGCGCATTGCAATAATCAATACGAGATGTTACCAGTGCATGTGTAACTGTCATGAGACTCCACTCGTCCAGGTAGGGCCGTAGCTGGTATAATTTCCGCAGCTGAAGGAAGGCACCCCTGGCCACCGAGGCCACCTGAGCTGCCAAAGTTAGACTGGGGTCCAGGAGCACCCCCAAGCTGCGGACCCTGTCCCTTAGGGGGAGTGTAACCCCATTCAGGACAGGGAAGTGGCCCTCCAACCTGTCCGGCGAAGCACCCACTAACAGCACTTCCGTCTTGTCTGGATTGAGTTTCAATTTATTAACCCTCATCCAGTCCATTATCAGGTCCAGACACGAGTTCAGCACAGAAACCGCCTCACCTGGATTGGTGGAAAACGAGAGGTAGAGCTGAGTGTCGTCAGCATATTGCTGACTCCTCAGCCCAAACCTCCTGATGACCTCTCCCAGCGGTTTCATGTAGATGTTAAACAGCATGGGGGACAGTATCGAGCCCTGAGGAACCCCATGACATAACTGCCATGGGGCAGAGCAACTGTCCCCCAGCACCACCCTCTGGATACGGTCAGCTAGGAAGGAGCGGAACCACCGTAAAACAGTGCCCCCAACTCCTATCCCAGCCAGCCTATCCAGAAGAACACCATGGTCGATGGTGTCGAAAGCCGCTGAGAGGTCCAGGAGTATTAACAGGGTCACACTCCCCCTGTCTCTCTCCCGGCAAAGGTCATCATACAGGGCGACCAAGGCTGTCTCTGTACCAAAACCCGGCCTGAAACCTGATTGAAATGGATCCAGAAAATCCGTTTCATCCAGCAGCGCCTGGAGTTGCCCGGCCACAACCCGCTCCAACACCTTGCCCAAATAAGGGAGGTTCGCCACTGGTCGGTAGTTGACCACCAGCCTTGGGTCCAGGTTAGGCTTTTTAAGGAGTGGTCGAATTACCGCCTCTTTCAAGGCGGTAGGGACCACTCCCTCTCTCAGAGAGGCATTCACGGCCTCCTGGACCCAAGTGCGAACCCCCCTGGCAGATCTTCCAATTAGCCAAGATGGGCAAGGGTCGAGCGGCGTTTCAAACATACCTGGCTAACATGTTCTTGGGGAGGGGGAACAATACATGGAATCAATTTCAAAAATACCTGATTAACAGGTTCTGGGGGGGAAACAATACAGAGGAAGTAATTAATACATGCAAAGCCTTATCACAAACACACAGCTTCACATAGGCTCAGAAAAAACAAGACCAAGAGAAGGTACTTGTTAATCCAGGATTTCAAAGACACTATGGGCAAGCATATCCTACAGCTAGAATGGTGAACATGTGGCCCTCCAGCTATTGTTAGACTGAAGCTTTCGTCATTCCTCTCCATTGGCCACACTGGCTAGGCCTGATTGGAATTACAGTCCAGAACAGCAGAAATGCCATAGGTTCTCATCCCTGCCCTGTATAATTCAGTTGTGTTCACAAGGCCAGTAAGTCGAATCAGCAATAGTGTATCTAAACACAATCAGGCTGGCATGTTTTTAACAAAGAAGGTAAAAGAAGTATGGGTCTTGAGGCATCAAAGAAAAATAACTGCCTCTGGAAAGCTCTTCATTATTTGGCATTCATCATTATAACTTTTCTTTCAGCGTATATCCGTTTCCATCTAATTTCACCACTGATCCAGCAGTCTGCTGAGAAGTAAGGATTATAGTCTTTTTGTCTTGTTTTTATTTGCTTTCTTTTTCTGCTGCAGAAAGGGTTTTAATTCAACTTGAAGTGTTTAGCTAATAGACTCTGTTTAATCTGATTTTTGGATTAGGCATCTGTGTTGCTTCATATTATCCCTTGTTAATAAAAATGAGAGAGTAGGCGGATGTGACCAATGCCAGCACTCCCAAAGGACAGGATGGCTGGGTGGGTTTCCTTGACCAGCTCTGACGTTCTCAGGTCTTCCTGGTGCTGGAGTCTCCAGGCAGGCTGCCAAGGGATGCGAGTCTGAAGCAGACAACCCTCATGATGTGAAAAGTGAATTTTCAAATGCCATATTTCTGGATTGGATTATATAAAACAATGGTGTTCAGTATGGCAGATCCTAAAAGGGCTTGTATTTCTAGTTGTATAAATATGTTGATTTCTCTGGAAAGAGAAGTTTGCTATATTGAATGAATGATATGATTCCAAATAACTTTTATCCAAGTTTGTCATTCAAATTCTTGCCTTTGTTTCCTGCCATCTGAAATGATTGTGCACAGTGTGGTGCTCTTTGATACATTTGTGAACATCCTTGCACACAATCTTGCTGAACCTGCATATGAAGCAGATGTTGCTCAGCTGGAATACAAACTGGTAGCAGGAGAGCATGGATTGATCATTCGTGTGAAAGGATTCAACCATAAGTTGCCTGTAAGTTTTTGTTGGATTTTGATATTGGGGTTCCTCTTGGGTCTGAATGTTCTATACTGTATTTGGTTTGGGGATGGGGTGCAATGGACATCTGTAGGGGTTGGATGACAATACTCCTTTCCCATCTATCTGTCTATCCAGCTGACAACTCCTTCCTTGATAAGTCCCTTTCCCTGTGCAGAGGCAGGCACAGAGTGATTGCTGTGTACCTCTCTGTGCACAGAGAGGTAAAAAAATAATCATTTCTGTGTGCTTGGCCATCGTTTCTCTTGGACAGGGTTTTGGAGAGGACCCTCCATCTGCCTGAGGGTATAGAGATTCCTCGTTCTTGCTCAAAGGAATCATGACTCTCTTTTATAGCTGCTGTTCCAACTCATCATTGACCACTTAGCTGACTTCAGTTTTACTCCAGAGGTTTTTGAGATGATAACTGAACAGTTGAAGAAGACTTACTTTAATATCCTCATCAAGCCAGAGACGCTGGCCAAGTAAGTATCTAGAGCACATGAGATAGGAAGGAATCTCTGGGCTGAAGTAGCAGATTGCAGTTCCAAGACGTGGATAAGAGGGCAAAGAAGGAACAGGAGAGTTGGGTTTATT